CCCACTAGAGAACTCCGCTCATCCGACACTGGCAAAATATCGATACCGTGTGTTCGCCTTGAGACATACGGAAAGCGCATTTTTGCATTTGCCGGCCAAACAATTTGGAACGCCCTTCCAAGTCGCTCTCAGAAACAGCCAGACTCTGGAGTCCTTTAAACCCGATTTAAAAACACATATAATTCGCAACCACCTTCTGGGGTGATGCTATCTACCATCTTTTTCAGTTAATGCATATTGGCTTGTGTTGCTTATGGTTGAAACGGGATGAAATACTTTAACTTGGCATGCTCGTATTTAGTTTTATATTGTTGCATCTGTTATTTTATATGTGGTAAATTTTAGATTGTTTTTATTTCTCTTTTTAATATGGTTGACTTTGTACCGTGCTTCGAGCTTTTGGGGATGAAGCGAGTTTTTCAAATAAACTTTATTATTATTATTATTACTTGATGAAATTCATTATTTATTTATATTTTCAGGTGTTTATATGCACTTGGGTATATCTAGTTGTATGGGTAAATACAATCATGAAGGTGATATAACGTTTATCTAAACAAAGCATTAGGTTAAAGAAATGATTACGTGGAAATGGAATTGTAGACCGTGTGTTTTCCCCTAGATGTTTTTTTTATTCGTTATGTTACTATCTCTTTACAATTACTGAAGATTTTATTTCGTCCAATAATTTTTGTACCCGATTAAAATTTTAGTATAGGTAGCTAAACCCATTACGTTATATATATATTATGTATATAATGTTGTTACGAATTGATATCGTTCGCTCTGATCTGCAATAACTGGTCATCAAGAGGAAGATTCTTAAGTTATAGACTAATTAACAGACTCATTTTCTAACACAAGTATTTCAAAATAATACTCGATTATATATATATGACTCAATACAACTAATTATTTTTTTTCTTTTTTTTTTTTTTGCACAATGTGACGATGGAGTGGGCTTCGTAGGACGAAATCCACATAGCCTGGGATTATTATACTTGAAGGATTATAATCTGGTTCCCAACAGCAAATCGCCTCTTGTGAGTAGCTGCTAGTTAAGTGATGAGTTCTTTTTGCTGGCATCCGTCCGTCACATTGTGACGATGGAGTGGGCTTCGTAGGACGAAATCCACATAGCCTGGGATTATTATACTTGAAGGATTATAATCTGGTTCCCAACAGCAAATCGCCTCTCTCCACGCCGCTGGGTAACCCAAGGGAACATCATTGGATGATACAGCTTGGCACCATTGACGTCGCAGGAGTTGTCGGAATGATTCATTGTATCAATGTTATCCGCCTTTCGGGACTCCATCTCCGGGTTTGATTTCAGAGTTTCCTTCTCTTAGATGAGTTGCCGTCCAAGGTTAACGAGTCCCATCTACCCGGTGTGCTGGTGGTGTTTTTGCTCTAGCTGGAATTGAACTCCAGACCACCAACTTGAGATTTGCTCAGTTTAGACCACTTGGCCACCCAGCACCCGCTACTGAACATATACAAACAATTGGAACAGTCTATTAAATGTTTATTTTAATTTAAGACAAAAGATACATCTCATCACAGCCGTAATATAATAAACATAATATTTTATGCGTAGCATATAATGAGGGAACTATTTTATAAAATTCCTTTAAGCTTTCTGTGGAAAATTGTTTCAATAGATTACTCAGATACGTTTGTAATATGATCTTCATGTGTTCCAATGTATTTACGAATGCTAAACCTTGTGAACATAGATGAATTGCTGTCAGACAGTTCTACCCAGTCGGTAAATACTCTAAATAAAAGAGCTAAAAACATCAAAATATTAAAAAGTGAATGACCCGTTTACAGATGTTTAATTCCTGTACATTAATTGAAGATATAAAAGAACCTTATAGACAAAGAAAAGAATTTCGGAAAATGGTTTCTTTCATCACAACAGGGTTTGTTTAGTCCGAAATGTTTTCATTCTTTCGAAAACAGATATCATATGTTTCTTTTATATTCTCATGGACTTATGACAAATCAGTATCTTGTTGTTTTTTTTTTTAAATCACGTGATATATTTACAATAATTTTCAATAAAATAATTTTAGCGTAAATCAATAATGTTATTTGTAATATATATAAACATCATGCGCCAAATTTAGCAGTACTTAAGATTGAAGGTGTCGAGATGAAAACGACTCTGTGTGTGAGCATGGCTTGAAATGGGTCTCTCTACGGAGCAAAAGGTTTTCTTAGTTTAAAAATGTATTCACTCATACGTTTTTGAAGGTAACTAGTTTCATGTTTGAAAAATCTAAAATAACCATGTCGGAAGGGAATTTTTAGGTTGCGCCAAGTAATAGGATTCTACAAAGCATATCTGTAAATAGAAGGGATAATCTAATCGATATTTAATTTAAAACGGCTCTCTACGTAGAATCACGCATTCCTATGAAAACAGGATCAACGCAGCACATTGCCACAATTTCTAAATTTGTATCATCCTGGCACATTGATCTGGCTCACATAATTGGCACAGATATATGGCTAACATATCTAGGTCACACATCTGGCTCACAAATATAGCTGACATATTTGGCTCATATAGTATGATCATATATCTGGCTCAAATATTTGGCTCACTATCTGGCTAACATATCTGGCTCATTTATTTGGTAACTTATCTAGTTGACTCAGTCGTTGCACAACTTTATGCCGTATACAAACGGTCAGAATACGAGAATACGTATGTGGATGATAAATTTAAAAAAAAAACAAAGCTCATCGTAGATTTCCTAAAGATGCTCATCGTAGATTTCCTAAAGATGCTCATCCTAGATTTCCTAAAGATGCTCATTCTAGATTTCCTAAAGATGCTCATCGTAGATTTCCTAAAGATGCTCATCGTAGATTTCCTATAGATGTTCCTCGTAGATATCCTAAAGATGCTCATCGTAGATTTCCTAAAGATGCTCATCCTAGATTTCCTAAAGATGCTCATCCTAGATTTCCTAAAGATGCTCATCCTAGATTTATTAAAGATGCTCATCGTAGATTTCCTTAAGATGCTCATTCTAGATTTCCTAAACATGCTCATCATAGATTTCCTAAAGATGCTGATCCTAGATTTCCTAAAGATGCTCATCCTAGATTTCCTAAAGATGCTCATCGTAGTTTTCCTAAAGATGCTCATCCTAGATTTCCTAAAGATGCTCATCGTAGATTTCCTAAAGATGTTCATCGTAGATTTCCTAAAGATTCTCATCCTAGATTTCCTAAAGATGCTCATCCTAGATTTCCTAAAGATGCTCATCGTAGATTTCCTAAAGATGTTCATCGTAGATTTCCTAAAGATGCTCATCGTAGATTTCCTAAAGATGCTCATGCTAGCTTTCCTAAAGATGCTCATCCTAGATTTCCTTAAGATGCTCATCGTAGATTTCGTAAAGATGTTCATCGTAGATTTCTTAAAGGTGTTAATCGTAGATTTCCTAAAGATGCTCATCGTAGATTTCCTAAAGATGCTCATCGTTGATTTCCTAAAGATGCTCATCCTAGATTTCCTAAAAATGCTCATCCTAGATTTCCTAAAGATGCTCATTCTAGATTTCCTAAAGATGCTAATCGTAGATTTCCTAAAGATGCTCATCCTAGATTTCCTAAAGATGCTCATCCTAGATTTCCTAAAGATGCACATCGTAGTTTTCCTAAAGATGCCCATACTAGATTTCCTAAAGATGCTCATCCTAGATTTCCTAAAGATGCTGATCCTAGATTTCCTAAAGATGCTCATCCTAGATTTCCTAAAGATGCTCATGCTAGATTTCCTAAAGATGCTCATCCTAGATTTCCTTAAGATGCTCATCGTAGATTTCCTAAAGATGTTCATCGTAGATTTCCTAAAGATGCTCATCCTAGATTTCCTAAAGATGCTCATCCTAGATTTCCTAAAGATGCTAATCGTAGATTTCCTAAAGATGCTCATCGTAGATTTCCTAAAGATTCTCATCCTAGATTTCCTAAAGATGCTCATCCCAGATTTCCTAAAGATGCTCATCCTAGATTTCCTAAAGATGCTCATCCTAGATTTCCTCAAGATCCTCATCGTAGATTTCCTAAAGATGTTCATCGTAGATTTCCTAAAGATGCTCATCGTAGATTTCCTAAAGATGCTCATGCTAGTATTCCTAAAGATGCTCATCCTAGATTTCCTTAAGATGCTCATCGTAGATTTCCTAAAAATGTTCATCGTAGATTTCCTAAAGATGCTCATCCTAGATTTCCTAAAGATGCTCATCCTAGATTTCCTAAAGATGCTAATCGTAGATTTCCTAAAGATGCTCATCGTAGATTTCCTAAAGATGCTAATCGTAGATTTCCTAAAGATGCTCATCGTAGATTTCCTAAAGATGCTCATCCTAGATTTCCTAAAGATGCTCATCCTAGATTTCCTAAAGATGCTCATCGTAGTTTTCCTAAAGATGCCCATCCTAGATTTCCTAAAGATGCTCATCCTAGATTTCCTAAAGATGCTGATCCTAGATTTCCTAAAGATGCTCATCGTAGTTTTCTTAAAGATGCTCATCCTAGATTTCCTGAAGATGCTCATCGTAGATTTGCTAAAGATTCTCATCGTAGATTTCCTATAGATGCTCATCCTAGATTTCCTAAAGATGCTCATCCTAGATTTCCTAAAGATGCTCATTCTAGATTTCCTAAAGATGCTCATCGTAATTTGCTAAAGATTCTCATCGTAGTTTTCCTAAAGATGCTCATCCCAGATTTCCTAAAGATGCTCATCCTAGATTTCCTAAAGATGCTCATCCTAGATTTCCTAAAGATCCTCATCGTAGATTTGCTAAAGATTCTAATCGTAGATTTCCTATAGATGCTCATCCTATATTTCCTAAAGATGCTCATCCTAGATTTCCTAAAGATGCTCATCGTAGATTTCCTAAAGATGCTGATCCTAGATTTCCTAAAGATGTTCATCGTAGATTTCCTAAAGATGCTCATCGTAGATATCCTAAAGATGTTCATCGTATATTTCCTAAAGTTGCTCATCGTAGATTTCCTAAAGATGCTCATCCTAGATTTCCTAAAGATGCTCATCGTAGTTTTCCTAAAGATGCTCATCGTAGATTTCCTAAAGATGTTCATCGTAGATTTCCTTAAGATGCTCATCGTAGATTTACTAAAGATGTTCATCGTAGATTTCCTAAAGATGCTCATCGTAGATTTCTGAAAGACGCTCATCGTACATTTGTTAAAGTCGTTCATCGTAGATATCCAAAAGACGTTTATCGTAGATTTCTTGAAGACGCTCATCGTACATTTGTTAAAGTCGTTCATCGTAGATATCCAAAAGACGTTTATCGTAGATTTCTGAAAGACGCTCATCGTACATTTGTTAAAGTCGTTCATTGTAGATATCCAAAAGACGTTTATCGTAGATTTCTGAAAGACGCTCATCGTACATTTGTTAAAGTCGTTCATCGTAGATATCCAAAAGACGTTTATCGTAGATTTCTGAAAGACGATCATCGTAGATTTCTTAAAGACTTTCATCCTAGATTTCTCAGGGTTTTAACGCAACAACTTTTTTTTTGAGAAACAAGCGCGTTTCTGATCATCAAAGAATCAGCAGGCTTAACACTCTTTCAAAACTATGATATTTTCTAACTATAAACACCATAATTGTGTTACTTAGTGTCGTGGTATTTGTAACAATAAACACCAAAATGGTGTTACTTAGCGTCGTGGTATTTGTAACAATAAACACCAAAATGGTGTTACTTGCTGTCGTCTCATTAAATATCTCTTTGAACTGTCCTGCTACCTTTTGTTTTCTCGAACAGTGTTCTAAACCAAATTCACTAAAGTCCTCACTAATAGGGCTCAAATATAAAAATGTTTGTCTACTTAGAGAGACCCATTACCAACAACAACAGTGGTCCATAATAGATTCATTGACTTCGCAGTGAACACTTGGCTACTGAAGCTTCGCACCGTTGACAAATCCACTTAGGAATTTAAGATGTGAGATCATCCGTACCTTTACATTTGGCTTATGCATTATTTGTCCTCAAACTATTTTTTCAAAAAGTTAAATTGTATTTAAAAGAGATTCTAGAAAAAAAAATGTACAAACACTTTAATTTATTAAAAATTTGACGAACAATTTCCGGTGCATTATGTTATTATATTCAGATTTAAGGAAACAAATAAACTTTGTATAACGTTACAGACGAGGCACAAAAGATAGAACTTGGCAATATTTTTACTGGAATGGTCTGTCTGGTTTTTAAATTTTGCTATCGACTGTGGTCTGGCGATCAAAGCGTACCTTCAAATCTGTCGTCTGCGAAATGAAGAGAAAGAAAAACGAACCATTCACTTCTGAATTCCATTTAATTTCATGTAGACCTTGAAACAAATTACACATTCAAATAATGTTGTAGTCTTAAGTTTTAAAGATCGACGTGACAATTTTGTCGTTTAAAATATTGCCGAGTTCCAAAATATTGACAAGTAAAAACCCTTCAGAAAAGTAGCCAAGTCACGTGTTATAAAAATATTTGTGATGACTGGTGAAGTCAATTGAGACTTGTGAGATTATTTTAAATTTTCAAAAGAAATGGTTGCGGCAAGGTATGTTAAAGAGATATATGTTTTGGGGAAGAGAGTGTGGGTAGAAATAGATTGTCAGGTTAGTCGGAGCTAAAATAATTGATTTGTGGTGTAAGCTAGGGCTGAAAGAAATTATGAGTAAGTTTTGTTGGGGCTGAGAGAAAGGTAGAGTGAGATTAGTTGGCGCTGAGAGAAAGGTTTAGATTAGATAAGTTAGGGAAAAGAGAATGAATGATTGAGATAGTTTGAGCTAAGCTGAGAAAAGCGATAGTGCGTTTATTTGGGCTTGGAAAAGAATAAGAGAGGTAAGTTAGGCTGAGAGAAAAGATGAGTGGGGTTAGTTGGGACTTAGATAAAGATAAAAGATTTATGATGTGATTAGGGGCTGTTAGAAAGGATGGGTTAAGCAAGTTGGGGCTAAGATAAAGGATGAGTTCGGCTACTAGGGGCTGACAGAAATGATGATTGATGTATGTTGAGGTTGAGATAAAGGACGATGGGGGATAGTTTATTTGAAAGAGAGGATGAGTAGGGTAATTTGTGTAGAAAACTTTTGGCAAAAGAATAAGAATGTACATACATTGATGGGCTGGGATAGAAAGTGTTTGATGATGTGGGGTAGAGAGTTCTGATGCTGTTGTGTACAGAGTATTTCGTGCTGTGAGGTAGAGATTATTCGTAGGATGAAATAGTTTTATTAATTTCAATGATTAACTATAATGGAAATAATGTGCGTCAGGGAGGGAACTCTTGTCTTGAACTGTGGATAACAAGAAAACTAATTTTACTGAGTTGTCAAACTTTGGAGAGGGAAGAATTTTAAACGTAAAATATACTTTATTGCAAAAAATGAGAATTTCAAAAAAAAATGTCATCTATATTTCAATTAAAAAATTTTAACATATTTAGTAAAAATAATAACGTAATAATTAATATTCAACAATTTCATTTATTTTCCTAAACTAAACGCATTACCGTCACTACAAGTGGGGAAGTCGTCACTAGGAGGGGGCATGACGGTTGTGCGGTCAGCCCTGGGACACACCAATTAGAAAATTGGAAATTTACAGATAATAATGAGGAGAGATTCCCATCAAATTTGGTAGATGAATATAAGTGAAAGTAAAAGTCGAACGTGTCGGCGAGAATGTCTTTCCTCTGGCTGGACTCTCAGATACTCAAATGCAGCTGTTTATATTTAGAGTGTTCAGACCTGGGTAGTCGCCCTGGTTGGTACAGGGGTGAGGGGGAATTCACCGCATGGAGGCTGACCAGCGGCTACAACACGGTGACTACAACACCGTGACGACGCTATTGAGAACGCTAGTAGTGGTTTGTCCCCCTTGGGGCTCTAGTAGTGGTTTATCCCCCTTGGGGCTCTAGTAGTGGTTGGTCCCCCTTGGGGTTCTAGTAGTGGTTGGTCCCCCTTGGGGTTCTAGTAGTGGTTGTTTAACGGCCATTTAAAAGGCGGGGTGCGGGGGTGAGGGAACTGACCAACGGTTGTAGCTTAGCAGGTACAAATTGTGGCGAGACTATTAGGAACGCTATGTGATGGCAGTGTTTGGTCAATGTCACTTTAAACGAAGGGACGCGTTAGAAGAAAATTTAGTACCAGATGTAGCAAAGGATTAAAGCCAATGTGTGTGGTGGGGGGGGGGGTTGGAGGGAATCTCTAGTGACGCAACGACCAATTCAGGGACTTGTAAAAAGTGACCTATAGACAGGACTAGGAGAGTTAAGCCGGAGGGAGGGCGAGTCGGACAGTCTCCTGGACAGGAGCAGAAGAAAGACATGAGGAGACAGTTACCCGGGACAGTCAGAGCAGATTTCAAAGGTCTTCAGTGTAGAGCAAATCAAATAAAGTGAAAGGCCAACAGTCAACGTGTTGTTACCTGAGTGTTGGAGTAAGCGAGACAGAGTGGCCGAGGTTTACCATCCACATAAAGTAGATAGAGGAATGAGGCGTGACGCAGCGGATTCCTTACAATATTAATGTTTATTTTTGGCTTATCTGTTGTTCTTCGCTAATAAGGTCTTTGACCCGACACTTTCGATTTGATTGCTGTTCTTTTGTTTTTGTTCGTTTTTTTCTTTTTTCTTTTTTACGTCCCTTTTTTTTTCATTATACTTAATTTTTTTTTTTTTTTAAACTTCAATTTGCAGCGATCATTTGAGTCGTTTTCATAATTATTATGAAACTTTTGTTAGAACTTACTTTGCTTCCAGGCCTGATTGTTCCATCTCATGTTCACTGGTGGTTCAGGGGTCGGTGGGGGCAGGGCACGTGGTGGTGGTGGCCTGAATAGCGATGAGAAAATAACAAATAACGCATACCTTATTCTGCTTTGAACAGATCATCTGCAGATCGATGCAACAGTGTCAACGTGACTAGACCACATGTTCCCAAACTGTTTTGAGTCTCGACCCATATTTCTAAACCAGCAAATAGACCCAGAGAACTTATAAATTAAAAAAAATAAAGTGGAAAGAAATTGAAGTATCTAACAACGTTGTGAAAATATTTAAACATGTAATAAGCAAGACACGGATTCAAAATGGAAATTAATTTCTTTCCTTTTCGTTTAAGTATGTCTCTAAAAAGAAAAATCTCCCAGGACAAAAACAAGTTCACGCAACAGGTCCAGCCTAAATATAGCACATAATTAACTCCAGATGATCCCAGTCAGCTTTGTTACCCATTGTTCAGAAACGAAGGATTTGAAAACAAGTGAATTGTTTAAAATTGAATTTATTTTTTTTAAATTATCCGTAATGTTCAACGTAAGAACCTGGAAACAGGTGTCGCCTAATGTATTAAATAACTGTTAATATGACAATGTTGTCAGTTTCAATCTACGAAATTATTCATATTGAGCTGGTGTCGACAAGAATGTAATATTGAAATTAAAAAAAAATTCTGAAATTATCTAAAATGAAATTAAAGTTCCATAATTTCTTTACTTATATAAATAACAGCTACAGTCTAACACACAGTGGCGTCCACAATGCGGTTAAAAATGTAATAATATATTCATTACAAAATGTACTTTTACTCACCGATACGGCTCTACAATCCTTGTAGGTTTTCTGAAACATTAGGCAGAGGTGACTTTTAACTAAGCAAAAAAATATTCTCATGGAAATATACCTTTGTATAAATTTTAAATAGCTTTCTATTCTATTAGGTTTTGCTTTCATAATATTAGTATGAAAATATTAAGAATTTTTTTTTTTTTTAAAATAGAAGATTTCCCAGTGTCCATTTAATATGACTTTTTTCTTTTCTTTTTAATGACTAATGCCAGATGGAAAATTTGTTTTTCTCAATATCTAAACGTAATCCTTTTAATTCATTAAAATACGATCCAAGATTAGAAAATACAAGCATCGCACTACCATGAAATACGGAAATGTTTGGTCACAAACTTTTACAGAACGGTATGGTCACAAACTTTTACAGAACAGTATGGTCACAAACTTTTACGGAACAGCATGGTCACAAACTTTTACAGAACAGTATGGTCACAAACGTCTACAGAACAGTATGGTCACAAATTTCTACAGAACAGTATGGTCACAAATTTCTACAGAACAGTATGGTCACAAATTTCTACAGAGCGGTATGGTCACAAATTTCTACAGAAAATATGGTCAAAAAACTTCTACAGAATAGTATGGTCACAAACCACTACGAGCATGCCACTCAAACACTTATCGATAAAAACTATCCGGTCGTACATTAACACAATATGTCCCACTCAGCATATTATTTTGTGTTCCTATGTCAAAATGTTACTCAATTAGCCAATTTATTTTGTACCTATATCACAATTTTGCTTATTTAGCCCATGTATTCCCCCGTTATGTCGATCATCCACAGTTCCAACCTGAATATAACTTAAAGGTGATCATTTCGACTGCCGACTTTGTACTTAAAATTGTCCCGTTTTAAAATGTAACCATAATTTTTACTTTCTATTTTTTTCCTTTCTTATTTGATATCTAATATAATAAACTTTACAATGTACTCTAAGAACATTTCCATTTAATAGGATAGATTAAAAAAAAAAAAATTCTTTTCTGAAAGATATGGAGACACATTAGACCATGTAAGGACATATCAAAATGACAGTGGCAATGATAGTGCGCAACAAAAAAAAACGCTAAGCTGACATAACTCTGACACAATTTAATAATGACGAATTCAAATAAATCTCGCCCACCTACGCACTGACATCGTGTTGACAGAGTTGAAAAATTCCTTAGAAAACATTCATGGTGTATATATGTAAATTCAGACCCGGATTCTACCAAACAGGTAAAGCAGTACGTCACTGTTTGTGATTACACCAACAAATACCGCTGCCCTTTTTTTTTTTCTTTTGGCTGTTGCCATTAAAATAGTAAATCTCTCGCTTTGTACAAAAAATGTTCAATGTCAACACACAGTTGTAATGGAAAATTGTGTGTTCTTTTTTTTTTCAGAATTTTATGAAATATTGCTCGTCACGTTCTTAAATATGTTATTTTTTGTTTGAAATGACCAAATTTATTTAATATTTATTTTTAAAACACTTTTTCCTAATAAAATATAATGTTTAAATAGTTGATTTTTTTCCTTATTAAGGATGTCCCATTTTTGTGAAAGCCCCAACTTAAGAAAAACGGTAAAAGAGAAAAAATAAATTACTATAGCTTACAACGATTTTGAAATGCATGTATTCAGATAAACAGAAGTCGTGCTTCTTATTGAATGTTGTTCTGATTTCAAAACACAAAAAAGGAAGTAAACAAAATATATCCTAGCGGGTATGAAGTTGATTAATTTTTTTTAAAAAATAATTTTTAATAACATTTGTTGGTTTGTTTTGTTGTTTCTTAAAATAATTTCCCGGGCATGGACATAAATCGAGTGGACTTTATATAAAAATTAGGTTGCTAGTCAAATACTGTATTATTACTTTTACCAACAGCGCTTAAAATTTAAGTGTGACTTTATTATTTTTATCTTCACAACGACACAGGTAAACTGCTTGGTTGGTTTGCCCCCAGGGGTGTGACAGGCCTAAGAGGGAGGAACACGAAAGCTGACGTTGAAATTAGTGTTAATCCTGTCCGCCCAAAAGTTTCAAGAGTGACGTCACAATCTAGACCTTGACATTGCAGGAAACAGTGAATTTAACGACCAGCACGTGACTTATTAGGGTTAAAATATGTGGAAAATTTGGCAAAACGTAAAATTCCATTGTAGCACAAATATTCTTATCCATCCCTCCCTTTTTGCCATATAAAAGCTATTTAACAACGACGTTCACCTTTGACCTTTGACACTGACTTCAAAAGAAGAAATGTTTCCAAGTCTTGTGTATAAAAATTGGAGACAGCGAGATAATTACAGTTGGTTTTTTTTTTTGCTCTACACATCACAGTGGAGTAGTCAAATCATTTTTTAATTTAAAAAAAAAAAATAATTTCATTTGTTTTAGCTTCTTCTTGACATTTAAGTTTGATTAACATAAGCTATCTATTTGGTTGTGACATATGATTTCCATATAAAAGCTATTTAACAACGACGTTCACCTTTAACCTTTGACACTGACTTCAAAAGAAGAAATTTTTCCAAGTCTTGTGTATAAAAATTGGAGACAGCGAGATAATTACAGTTGGTTTTTTTTTTGCTCTACACATCACAGTGGAGTAGTCAAATCATTTTTTAATTTAAAAAAAAAAAATAATTTCATTTGTTTTAGCTTCTTCTGGACATTGAAGTTTGATTAACATAAGCTATCTATTTGGTTGTGACATATGATTCCAAATAAACATCTGTCTGGTTGTGACAACTGATTGCAATTAAGTATCATTCAGTCTGTGACATTTCATTGCCAATAACTATTTGGTTGTTATATTTGTTTGCTAATAACCATCTGTCTGCTTTTTATTGTTCACTGAATTGATCGATCAACCGTCTATTGAACATCATGTGGATCGAATTGACTTTCGTATTGGCGCTGACGTTGTCCAGTTTACCCCAGATCTTGACCGGGCCCACGTCGTTGTCCAGTGTCAAGGCCCTGACAAGGGCGTCCAACCAGTTTTCCCAAAAGCTGTACGCCCAAGTGGCACTGAACCGATCTATATCTGTGTACTCTCCCTTCAGCCTTCACGCTTGCTTGAGCATGGCCTACCTTGGGGCTAGGACGTCAACCGCTGACCAAATGAAGAGGACCCTCCAGGTAAGACTGTATACACTCGACTGACCTGTACACGGTCAAGTATATTTCTTCACATAAACTCCCCACATTAAATATTCTCAAAAATCATTTCGCATCATAAGTAATATTTATTTATGATAGTAATCTGAAGAGTCATAAGTAATCTGAGGAAATCACAAGTTATCTGATATAATCATAAGCAGTCTGAGATAATCATAAAATATCTGAGATACTCATAAGTAATATGAGATAAGCATAAGTAATCTGAAATAATCATAAGATGTCAGAGATTATAATAATTTATCTCAACAAATCATAAGTACCATGAAATAATCATAAGTTATCTGTGATTATCATAAGTTATTTGAGAAAATCATAAGTTATCTGAGATAAGCATGTGATAAATTTAGCATCAAGAGCCAGTGCAAGCACTTTAAACATAAATGTTGCACATGCATACCTTTGTGTTTGTGGCGAAAAGTTAAATGTTGTTTTTTTGTTTAATAAACACATTTTATGTAAATGAAATTATTGTTAACCTATACACATCTGTACTTTCTTATACAACTCGCTACAATCACTGACTGGTTGCCGAATCAAAAAGTCACTATATACAAAAAGTCGTGAATGTATAGCAGGTCTTTTCAAATGCTAATTGTTTCACTAATTCTTCTCTCCAAACATTAATTGTATGCTCCGTTTCTTGTCCCACCAAATACTAGCTGCCGCACATTTAATTTCCACAAACTACTAGTTGTCCCACAAATAAATCACACAACCTACTGGTTTCCCCACAAATGCTTCACTACGAAATTAAAGCCCTATTAATTAGTCCATACAAATATTCTTTCAAGTTAATTTTCAATCCAAATAATATTTGCCCCATTAAAAATTCCAAATAAAGACTACTTACCGTATTAATTAATTCCCACCAAACTCTAGTTTCCCTCTAAATAAGTCCCACTAAACACAAGTAGCCCTCTAGATAAGTCCCACCAAACACAAGTTACCCATATTTAATAACTTTCTCCGAACATTGGTAGCCGACCTACTAAATCATACCAAATCATAGTTTTCTCATTAATGTTTCCCTCTAAAAAACTAGCTACGCATAATTCTATTATCTCAGAACATTGCGTGCACAAGATGTAATTCCTTTTAAACACTATTCAATATACTCATTTACGTGAAACAAATGTCAATTTCATTCTTCCCTTCTCAGTTGATCAGAGTAGCTGCCCCACATGCCGCTTACAAAGACCTTATAAAAAGTCTCAACGCAGTACCACGTGTAAATGTCCTGATCGCCAATGGCATTTGGGTCAATCCAAATTATCCAGTCAAAATGCAGTATCAAGTAAGCTTATCAGTATTTGTTGCTTATATGGTGTCTAAGAAAATAAACTTTTTTCTTCATTTTTTTGTTATAAATGATATTTTTCATTCAATATGTGTTCCTTTTTTTTTAAATAGTTACTTTTGTGTTGTTAAGTGTGACATAATTTTTCTCCCATGTTTGTCCCAGAACGTGATAGTGAGACAGTACTTTGCTGAGATCGACACCATCGACCTTACTGCTGCAGGCGGGCCCGAGACGCCAATCAACTCATTCGTCGCTGAAAAAACTTACAACAAAATCCCGGATATGCTGGGACCGGACTCCATCACGAACGACACCTCCAGCGTGTTGGTCAGTGTCCTGTTATTCAACGCGACTTGGAACACCCCGTTCGACGAAAGTCTAACCACCAAGGGAGACTTCACCAGGGCGGACGGGCTCAACGTCCAGGTCGACCTCATGCACCAGACGACCGACCTTGAATTCAAGCAGTCGGCCGTTGAGAACGTCGACGTGGTGAGGCTGCCGTTCGCCAACCAGAGGTTGGCGTTTTTCGTGGCGCTGCCACAAACGAATTCGGGGTTGTCCGCTCTTGAAACCATGATGGCCTCAGAAAACACAGACATCGATGTTTTATTCACGGGGATGTCAAAGGTCAAGGTTCATCTCTATCTTCCCAGGTTTCGAATTTTAGCTTCGATGAGCTTGAAAAACGCATTGTCGAAGATGGGGATGCCGAACGCGTTCCAACCCGTGGCCAATTTCTCCGGCATCTCCGTGGAGCCGTTGGTGATCAGTGATGTATTTCAGAGAGCGGTATTCGAAATAAGAGAATCAGGCACAGCTGCAGCGGCCGTGGCCTCATCAAGTCTGAACGCGGTCACGTCACTTCACGTCACCGACCCTCCGATTGTGGTTAGAGTGGACCACCAGTTTATGTTTTTTGTAAGAGACGATTTGTCAAACCAGATTCTATTCCAGGGCCATGTGTCTGACCCGAGCGTAAGTAACCTTGACATTCAATAGTTCTCTGCATTAAAAAAAAATGATCCTTAGGAAAGTCTGAAAAAAGAGGGGGGTGGGTAATTTTAATGGTTTGTTAACAGCTACCGGGAACACCAACCTATTGAAACCACTGAGTATGTGCCAAAATGACGTGTACAAGAAAAGACGCATGATTACGATAGATGTCAAGTCACTAGTAATCACTCCATGTTGAGTTCGTTTAACTGTTGCACTGACCAGATGCACTATTTAGAGGAAAAAACCTATAGCAAAATAGGAATGCACCGTTAAACTAACACATTTTTTTTAAAAATAACTTATTAGCTTTCATTATCACCAAGACTTTCCTTTTGACATGACTCGGGGCAATTTACATTCGTTTGCCGACCACCAAGATTTGTGCTGGTGACGTTCCTGGTTACAATTGTGTACATATGATATCTTCATTACATGTTTTAATCTTTTAATTTTCACAAAACTTGACTTGATGTAATTTATTAAATAGTTTCTGATTAATTAAATTGGATACAAAATTAAATGTATTCTTACGATTTTATTGTAATCATTTTATCTGATTGTTTCATTTAAACAAAGGGAAATCATTGCATTCTTACAAAAGCTATCAAGTAAAATAATTTTCGTTGAAATGAATAATTTTTTTATGAATGAGAACGGAGAGTGAGTGACATGAATTCAGACCGGACAGAGAGTCCGTTTGTCTGAATGTGAACTGGACAGAGAGTAAGTGCGTCTGAATGTAGACTGGACAGAGAGTAAGTGTGTCTGAATGTGGAGTGGGCAGAGAGTCAGTGTGTCTGAATGTGGACTGGACAGGGAGTCAGCGTGTCTGAATGTGGACTTGACAGAGAGTAAGTGTGTCTGAATGTGGACTGGATAGAGATTCAGTGTGTCTTAATGTGGACTGGACAGAGATTCAGTGTGTCTGAATGTGGACTGGACAGAGGTTCAGTGTGTCTGAATGTGGACTCGACAGAGACTCAGTGTGTCTGAATGTGGACTGGACAGAGATTTAGTGCGTATAAACACGGACTAGATAAGCAGTAAGTGTGTCTGAATGTGGAGTTGACTGAGAGTCATTGTGTCTGAATGTGGACTGGAGAGAGATTTAGTGGAAATAAATACGGACTAGATAAGGAGTTAGTGTGTCTGAATGTGGACTGGACAGAGATTTAGTGCGTATAAATAGGGACTAGATTAGGACATAGTGTGTCTGAATGTGGCCTTAATAGAGAGTCAGTTTGTCTGAATGTGGACTGGACAGAGATTTAGTGCGTATAAATACGGACTAGATAAGGAGTTAGTTTGTCTGGATGTGGACTGGAGAGAGACTCAGTGTGTCTGAATGTGAACTGGACAAAGACTTCGTGTGTATAAATACGGACTAGATTGGGGGTCAGTGTGCCTGAATGCGGAATTGTTCAATGAACGTAGGGATTCAATAAAAAATGGGGTATACTTAAGGGCCAGTAGAGTGTCAGTGGTCAGTAGTGCAAGGGGGTGGGAGAGCATGGAGTAGGAACGATGAACAAAAAGGTAATGTTAACAGTGATCCCGTTACTTTACGTTGTTCTTTGGCCAAGCATTGTATCGTTGATCAAGAAATCTGGCCACATCACCCAAGTTTAAAAGGCTCTGGATCTGCATATCTAAAGAACTGATTTCTTAACACGAATCCAAAAAGAACCTGGGCTCTTCAACACAGTCCTTACTGAGAGTTACCAATGTAGATGGACACAAAAAGAAGTCAAACCGTGTGCGCTCTTTTGAAGCTATTGCGACTAAAGTGTGGACCAGCTTGCTCCAATCTTTGTTGGAAATTAAAATGATAAAAATCATTTAAGAAACATTGAAATACTCTTTTTTCTATTAATAGATTTTAGGACATCAGAGCGCAATGAGCATACTGTATATAGCATGGATACAAGCTCAATAAAAGCATTCAATCATCATCTTCATAAGCTTGTTAACAGAAATCATTTTGCTAACGGGAGACCTGGGTTTGATTAGTGGGAATACGAGTTCAAAAAAAGGTATCCCAATACTAATCAAGATGGACTCTGATATGTTTAAATATGTTACTGTATTCTAGTGTACACGTTTACAATGATACGACAAGACAGAGATAACACACAACATGCCGTCGACATTCTTGCATCAAAATACACAGCCTTCATCAGCATCTCTTTTAATATCATATCTGCTATACATGTTGCCAATCCTTATGTCATTCATTCAGAACCAGTTAAAGAAAAATAAATATAATTTTGACTTTTTTTTTTTAACACAAAATAAACACATTTTTTTAAAAGGCACTTAGCTACATGGATTCCTAATCCAAAAAAGGGTCGCAACCTCAAGGTTTTATAAAAAAAAAACACTTCCTTAAATGACATCACTGATAAATTGCTGAATGCCAAGTAACTGACCTGTCACAAACTGACAAGGCGCCCGCATTGCGAGGTGTCAAAATTAAAGTCCAAAACACCCATATACACTGGGCGGACTCGTAGCAAATTTTTGTTGTTTAACAGAACAGATTCATCAAGTTCTTAAACTAGGGAATTCCAACTTTTTTTCTAATTCAGGGGTTCTAGAACTTTTTAACAGGGAGCCATTATTTTTTTCACGCTTATTTAAAATAATTATACATATAAATATATATATCTATGTATGCATCTATTTACAGTTTATTCATTGCTTTAGCGTTAACAAAACGTCATTATGGTTGTTACATTTGTTAATGTCGCAAGGCAATTATTCCTTTAAAATAGTAACTAAAATTGCAACTTAAGAAGCCTTGGTCTTAGCAGTTTAGAGCAACAATGTTAACGGTGAAAGTTGTTTTTACAACGAAGAAAATCCTGTTTTGTTTTCGTACCGTAGTAATAACGAATGATGAAAAGATGGTTGTCTTCTCTGCTCATTTACATATCTGGTTTAAACTAATATATCACTCACCTTAGTAGCAGCGGAAGTCAAAGTACACAGAGATGGCACAGAAATGATGGGATGATTGCATTTTGAAGTAATACATTAATTTTGTGATAGAGATGGGAGGAACTCATTAATTGTTTCCAAACTTCGCTGCCACCAATAGACAGTCGCACTACCCCGAATGGACGCAGTGACTTCTTACGGCAAGTGTATAAGTAACAAACTAGTACTTACGGTGAGGGTTTACAGCACGGTCCACACCGATATCCAGCACAACACATGGCTATCAGAACGGCCAGTCCAATGATTAGGGCGAGACCTAAACATAGCCACAGAATGTAACGTTAGTTTAATATACGATATGACGGGTTTGGTGGATTCACCTACTTAATCTTAAGCGCACATTCGATTTTAAATTGTTTACTATTCAACATGCTGTGTATAATAGTTGTTTTTTTAACCTACTATCTAACTGATGGATTTGAATGTATGTGAAACCGTATGTGAGCTTGTAAAAACTGTTTCTAAATCTTAATGCAGATCTCTTTGGGGTTAGAATTAAATGAAAAAAAAACAACAACAAAAAAAAAAAAAAAAAAAAAAAAAAAGTTTAGTTGATATGAAATTAATCAGTTTAGTGATACTACAGTGACATTATATAAAGTATTTCTTAGAAAATCATTTGATGGTGTCCAATCTGCGAGCGAAGGTGAATGCAGCTCTTGTGAGCTGTCGTTTGTCATATATTATTATACACCTACATTAAGTATTTATTTTTTTTTTTAAAGTTAAGAAACTCAAACTCTCCTTAGGATAAAGGCGCGATTGTGAGTGAACGTGGTTAGGGCGTGTCCATGGCCCATATTTGTGGAGGTCCCCAGAAATGGGAAATAAAGGTAAATTATCTTAAAAGCAAGTGATGGACGGAATGAATGATTTTAAATATTTAAAACACCACTTTTAAAAAACTTGGCCCATTTATTTGAAAATCTGCATAGACATGGAGGTGCTACTGGCAACAACTCGGGCAAAAAAATTGCCAGGGCAAAAATTCTACTTACCCAAAATGGCCATGAGAACACCGAAGAAGGCCGTGAACTCTGTGTAGTCCCAGATGTCCTTCTCGGTGGTCGTCGTCGTTTTGGCCGTGGTGGTGGTCGTTGTGGTGGTGGTGGTTGTGGTGACCACCGCCGTGAATGAGACCACCACCGTTGTCGTGGACGACCGCTGCGGGGTGCCCTCGTCCACACACTTGAGACTCGTCTTGAAGCTCGTGCCGGACTGGTCGTACGTGAAAAGTTCTGGGATTGAGAACATTTGGTTAAATGAAATTCGGCGTTTTCTAAAACTGTTGGTTGTTCAAGTCAGTAGATGTAAGAAACATGATTTTATGGATCCATGGTGGTAATGTGAATTTGAATAGCTCAACATTAATAGTTTACATCATTCATTTACATGGTTTGAGGATGAAGTGAGTCTTATTGGATATTTAACAGAAAAAGCGCCGGAGTTTAATGGCTTGTGGGGAAGTGGATGTTCCTAAGAGATCATTGAACATAAAATAAGCTACTTTTAATTTTTTTTTTTTAAATTACCAACAAAATAGAACTAAAAGCAAATCAAATATCTTTATCGAAAGTTAAAAATTCAAAAAAAAAAAAAAAAAAAAAAAAAAAAAAAAAAAAAGCAAAAGAATGCAAATGTTGTCATCACAGACCTTGCAAAATAATCTACTACCTGCAATAATCTACTACCTGCAATAATCAATACCTGCAATATTCTACTACCTGCAATAATCTGCTACCTGCAATAATCTAGTACCTGCAATAATCTACTACCTGCAATAATCTACTATCTGCAATAATCTGGTAACTGCAATAATCTACTACCTGCAATAATTTAATGCCTGCAATTATCTACTACCTGCAATAATCAATACCTGCAATAATCTACTACCTGCAATATTCTACTACCTGCAATAATCTAGTACCTGCAATAATCTACTACCTGCAATAATCTAGTAACTGCAATAATCTACTACCTGCAATAATCTAGTAACTGCAATAATCTGCTACCTGCAATAATTTAATACCTGCAATAATCTACTACCTGCAATAATCTACTACCTGCAATAATCTAGTACCTGCAATAATCTACTTCCTGCAATAATCTAATACCTGCAATAATCTACTACCAGCAATAATCTAGTAACTGCACTAATCTACTACCTGCAATAATTTACTACTTTTAACAATATACTACATGCAATAATCTACTACCTCCAGTATTCTACTACCTGCAATAATCTACGGCACATATCAAATAAAAGGGCGGGCAACTCAAAGGCCCAGGTATGTTAACTAAATAAATTGAAACATTTAAACAAGTTTTCATAATTCCTACAGATTTTGAATGATTATAATTTAGAAAGATTGGCCTGATGATGCAGTTGACCATGAGGTGTGCTGAAGCATGAAGGAGCTCCGTGCTACATCAAGAGATCATGTTTTGTGACCCCGAGACCATGCTTTGTGACCCCGAGAAATGCAAGTCACACCTCACGCCGGAAGGCCGTCACTGATATGGGACTAACTATGAATGCAATTATAAAGAATTAGATCCTTTACTGGTATAATAAATCTCTCCATTTCTTGTCACCGTCACGTGATCGCCGGTATCTGATGGGTTGACTGACGTCACTTTCAGGTGAACCTTGTTATTCGGACTGGTGTAGTCTTTGTCATTCAGTGTTAGACTGTCAAGCATTTTTAACTTGGTCGAGTCATCCACGGTAATGATGAGCTACAGACAATGATAAAAACCTCGAAATGTATTCAAACCTGAATTACTAGAATAATAGTCTTAAATTGAGAGTGTTTTTATTTACTACCATAAGGGTTTACGCTTGTGTGGACCAATGTATTCGAATGGACATTGTTAATTCTTGTAATGTAAGTAATGTTGGTAGTGTTGGCCTCTAAGCTTTGATTGTTTCCGCAGACTGACCATGTCTCCCCATAATATACATAAACATAAATGTTTAGAAAAAGCATATAAATGTAATAAACATAAATGAAGTTTCGAAGATAATTAGATCTTGTGAAGCGTTTTCATCATCAATATATTTTGGCAAACATCAGTTTTTATTGATGATTTTAAACGTTAAGAAAGTGCAATAAAAAAAAAATTACAGCACGCGTAGACATATCCGCTGGTCCTAGCTGAGGTGCGTACAAACAAGGGCTGTTGTAAACTCAGGTTGTTCAGCAGACGTAGTGATTCATCAGCTCAGTTAATTAGCTTTACATGATAATAATTCTCTAATCGTTGGGTTTATTTTTCATTCTGGCGCTCTCTGTTCACTTTGTCTCAGACTACGTTAGGTTAAACCGTGTGATAATCAATGGGATTTGTTGAAAAAAACATATTTTTAAAAAAAAAATGTTTATGGCTTGTTGTTTATATTACATGGTATCTGTTTCAGTTCAATGTTTTGTTTTGGAACAAAAGTAAAATATGTAATGTTATAGGGCGGTAATATGTAAAGTTATAGGAAAATTAAATATGTAGCATTAAACAATGGTTAATTATGTAATTTTATAGCATAATTGAATATATAATTTTATAGGAAAGTTAAAAATGTACAGTAATACAAATGTTAAATATGTTGTCTTTTAAGAAAGTTTAAAATTTACAGTAATACAAATGGTTAATCTGTAGTGTTATATAAACTGTTAAATCTGTATGAGCGTTCATTAGTAATTGTTGCGACTCAATATTATGTTCATTAGTTGTTGAACGCTTTTCCCGCGCTTGACTATTATAGTTAGTGAACGCTCTTCCCGCCATTGTCTCTATGACGTATTTTTATGCTGATTCGTGACGTATTGTCTATGCAGTATTGTGACGTATGTTTTAGTCGTGCGGCAGTCTTGAGTGGAACCTTGGAGTGATAGGATGTTTATTATTTAGGTCTGATAGCGAGCTGCGCTATATTCAAGTGTATATGTATTATATTTACTTAGACATTAAAGTTATAGTTATTATGAAAAGGAGTTGAGTTTGTTCAATGATAGTGAGAATAGTACGACGCTTCAACGTGTGAAAAGAACTGACGAATGTAATCAATCCAAGAAGACGTTAGGAGTTGACATACGGTTCTCCAAATTGTTAATCTGCAGTGTTATATAAACTGTTAAATCTGTAGTGTTATATAAACTGTTAAATCTGTAGTGTTATATAAACTGTTAAATCTGTAGTGTTATATAAACTGTTAAATCTGCAGTGTTATATAAACTGTTAAATCTGTAGTGTTATATAAACTGTTAAATCTGTAGTGTTATATAAACTGTTAAATCTGTAGTGTTATATAAACTGTTTAATCTGAAGTCTTATATAAACTGTTAAATCTGTAGTGTTCTACTAAAGCTCAACGAAGTAGACAGGGTGACGCCTGGGAGACGAGGTCGTCCTTGACATACCTGCTGGTGTTGTAAGAGCGAAGGCTAAGCGCTACACATAATGAAACTTGCATCTAGGAAAGTTATAACTTATACTTTCTTTGTACTAAAATACCGCGGAGTTTAACCTTTTCTAATACGTTAACATTATCTACTTCAATCCAAGGTTCTGGTGGTCGAAAATATTTTATTTCAAACGTCTTACCCCCCCCTTCCACCATAAAAAAAAAAATAAATGTATATACATGTGTATATATATATATTTATTCTGCATTGGTCGGAAAAGTGGTCGTGATCATTACAGAAAAAAATCAGCTCTTGTTGCAACAACTCGCCACCCTTTCCAATGCTACTGAGCTCCCGAATCACTTTTGTTCAAAACATTTACAAATGATGTAACAGTCTAAAAAAAGAAAAAAAAACAACAGCTTACAACCACTACACTTAACCCACCACTCCAGCCCGACTCCAGTCCCACTCCAGCGCCACTCCAGCCCACTCAAGCCCTACTCCAGCCCCACTCAAGCCCCAACCCTCCCCCAAGACCTCATCCCACCCACACCCCACCCCCAATCCCAATTTTCCGCTCACGTGTCCGAAGCAGAGGAGCTCACCAGGTTTGAACTCAACACACATGTGTTGTCATTGAGGTCGTTGATGTGGATGTTGACAGTGGCACTGCTGCTGGCAGACTTGCTGTCCCTGGCTGTCATGATAACGACAAGGTCAGATGTGGTCAGGGCCTCGAGGTCATAGTTTTTGGCGTAAGAAATCGTGTTGGTAGTCTTGTCAAAACTTGGACAGAAACAATTTTATTTCATTTTATTATTATTATTTTTAAAAAAAAATATTTTTATTTTATTTTTACAAACAGGAAACACACTTTCTCTTTTAATGAGGCATAAATTTGGCTGGGCATAGGTGGCAAGAACAGAGATTCTAATATATCCCTGGTGTGGTAGGGCAATAGTGGTACGTTAAAGATGACACGTATAGCCCTCTTCACAAAAAGGTTGTCCAGCCCGACTGTAGACCAAGTCCTACCTGAAGTAAGTATTGTCCAGGGTCACGACGAAGCTGTCACCCTCTGGATCGCTCACATTTCCGCCAAGCGAACAAGTGGCGCCACCTACCTGTGAAATTGCCGTAAAACGACTTTTTAAGAGTTTTAAGTCAATGAGGGGAAAAAAAAAACATGTAGCAAACAAAGATGCTTATTCATTACGAAAAAGGGGGGGGGGGAAATGAATCAATTGAACCCACTTTTCCCTGTCTCGTTTGTGTATTCCCATGGATAAATTAAGAATCTTTACTTCTTCTTTATACACTTTAATGAAATTGCCGTAAAACGATTTTTTAAGAGTTTTAAGTCAAGGAGGGGAAAAAAAAAACATGTAGCAAACAAAGATGCTTATTCATTACGAAAAAGGGGGGGGGGGAAATGAATCAATTGAACCCACTTTTCCCTGTCTCGTTTGTGTAGTCCCATGGATAAATTAAGAATCTATACTTCTTCTTTATACACTTTAAGATTATCTGAAAGTAGAAATCCATCGGCAATTTCTTTTACTGTAGTTTGTAAATTTCTTAAGACTAGCAACGTGTGAATCTCATCCTTCCTTCCATCGGAAAAATAAAGAATGACCTCGTCCTTGAACTTACCACGCCCTCGTCGATATTGCATTTGTAATTTGTAGATGACCAGGTTGGTGCCTCGTTGAAATCCATCACTTTGACAGTTAAAATATCCGTGTTGTCACTGGCGATGAAATTAAATTTGAGCAAATTTTTACGTCAATACATACGTCACATCAAAATTGATTTAATTCCATAAAATTTTTAATTATTATTAAACTATATCAAAATATGTAGTTAAAGAGAGCAATACCATATTCAGATATATTGTCGAGTTGAAACTTTTTTTTTGGGGGGGGTCGGGTTTAGAGCTTAATTATGACAGCTTTAACAGATTCAAGAAAGGACAAGATCCTATAATCTCTAAACAAAAATTATAGTACGGTTGAAGTCTGACTCTCAATAGACATCATTTTTTTTTCTTAATATTATTTAGTTTAGTTTTACAAACAACTTCCAAAATTAAAAGTGTGTGTTTATTTATATTTGTGAGGACTAACAGATGGCAGCTAGTGTAGAGGAAAACGTTGACCTAATCTTGAGGTTTATTAACGTTAGTAAGAGTGACTTGCGAGGGTTAGTACAAACCTCAACTAGTGACTATTTTTATTTTACCTTGCCAAAGACCAATAAACTTCCCATTTTGCCTATAAAACTGCACCAATTTATATACAGAGAAATTATGTGCCACCCCTTTACATAGGGAGAAATAATGTGTCGCAAGTGATGGAGCTTCCCCTCAGCCCTACGCCCTACTCAAATGGATGGCAGCAACGCAAATTTAATTTGTCGTTCCGTTAATTTAGGAAATAAACGACTTCACGTGATCTTTACTAGAACAGAGATTGATGGCATTGTCATGTAAGGAGAGTTTTCAAATGCTCATAACCGTGAGTCAACCACTGCTGTAAGCCGGTTCTTATCCTACCAGATTTGAATGATTAAAAAAAAATATTTTGTAATTTGTTCTCTTTTGGTTGATTTTGTATATATGTTTTAAACTAAACTGGCTTCAGCTAAATATTGCAGTAATTGAAGCCATCTAGCTACATGTTTACATTTATAGAAACCATCCTATGGAAAAGCTCTAGCTGAATGTTTGCAATTATTGAAAAGTTCCAGCTGATTGTTTACAGTAAATGAAAAGCTACAGCTAAATGTTTACAGTTGTTCAAAAGCTCAAACTGAATGTTTACAGTTATTGAAAAGTTCCAGCTGAATGTTTACAGTTATTGAAAAGTTCCAGCTAAATGTTTACAGTTATTGAAAAGTTCCAGTGTCAACTCCTATAACGTCTTCTTGGATTGATTACATTCGTCAGTTCTTTCATACGTTGAAGCGTCGTACTATTCTCACTATCAATTAACAAACTCAACTCCTTTTCATAATAACTATAACTTTAATATCTAAGTAAATATAATAAACATCCTATCACTCCAAGGTTCCACTCAAGACTGCCGCACGACTAAAACATACGTCACAACACTGCATAGACAATACGTCACGAATCAGCACAATAATACGTCATAAAGACAATGGCGGGAAGAGCGTTCACTAACTATAATAGTCAAGCGCGGCAAAAGCGTTCAACAACTAATGAACATAATATTGAGTCGCAACAATTACTAATGAACGCTCATAATCGACATCCAGCTAAATGTAACAGTTGTTCAAAAGCTCCAGCTGAATGTATACAGTTATTGAAAAGTTCCAGCTGAATGTTTACATTTATTGAAAAGCTCCAGCTGAATGTTTACAGATATTGAAAAGTTCCAGCTGAATGTTCACAGTTATTGAAAAGCTCCAGATGAATGTTTACAGTTATTGAAAAATTCCAGCTGAATGTTTACAGTTATTGAAAAGCTCCAGCTGAATGTTTACAGCTATTGAAAAGTTCCAGCTGAATGTTCACAGTTATTGAAAAGCTCCAGATGAATGTTTACAGTTATTGAAAAGCTCCGGCTGAATGTTTACATTTACTGAAAAGCTCCAGCTGCATGTTTACAGTTATTGAAAAGTTCCAGATAAATGTTTACAGTTATTGAAAAGTTCCAGCTGAATGTTTATAGTTATTGAAAAAGTTCAAGCTTAATGTTTACATTTATTGAAAAGCTCCAGATGAATGTTTACAGTTATTGAAAAGCTCCGGCTGAATGTTTACATTTACTGAAAAGCTACAGCTGCATGTTTACAGTTATTGAAAAAGTTCAAGCTTAATGTTTACAGTCCTTGAAAAGCTCCAGCTGAATGTTTACAATTTTTGAAAAGCACCAGCTAAATATTTACATTTATTGAAAAGCTCCAGCTAAATGTTTACAATTATTGAAAAGCACCAGTTAAATGTTTACAGTTATTGAACAGTTCCAACTAAATGTTTACAGTTATTGAAAAGCTCCCGCTAAATGTTTACTGTAATTTAAAAGCTCCAGCTGAATGTTTACAGTTATTGAAAATTTCAAGCTAAATGTTTACAGTTATTGAAAAGCTCCAGCTAAATGTTTACAGTTATTGAAAAGCTCTAGCTAAATGTTTACAGTTATTTAAAAGCTCCAGCTCAATGTTTACAGTTATTAAAAAGCTCCAGCTGCATATTTACAGTTATTGAATACCCCCAGCTAAATGTTTACAGTTATTTAAAAGTTCAAGATGAAAGTTTACAGTTATTAAAAAGCTCCAGATGATTGTTTACAGTTATTGAAAAGCTCTGGCTTAATGTTTACAGTTACTGAAAAGCTCCAGCTGCATGTTTACAGTTATTGAAAAGCTCCAGCTTAATTTTTACAGTTATTGAAAAGCTCCAGCTGAATGTTTACAGTTATTGAAAAGCTCCAGCTTAATTTTTACAGTTATTGAAAAGCTCCAGCTGAATGTTTACAGTTATTAAAAAGTTCTAGATGATTGTTTACAGTTATTGAAAAGCTCACGCCAAATGTTTACAGTTACTGAAAAGCTCCAGCTGAATGTTTACAGTTATTGAAAATTTCCAGCTAAATGTTTACAGTTATTGAAAAGTTTCAGCTGAATGTTTACAGTTATTGAAAAGTTCCACATGAAAGTGTGCAGTTATTGAAAAGTTCTAGATGAATGTTTACAGTTATTGAAAAGCTCCTGCTGAATATTTATTGTTATTGAAAAGCTCCAGCTGAAAGTTTACAGTTATTGAAAAGTTCTAGATGAATGTTTACAGTTATGGAAAAGCTTCAGCTAAATGTTTACAGATATTGAAAGGCTCAAAGCTACATGTTTACAGGTATTGAAAAGCTCCAGCTAAATGTTTACAATTACTAACTAACGCACATATTCTGGTGAAGGTCTGAGATTACTCTCTTATGACCCCGGCTAGTAAATTGGCTATCAACTCCATCTGTTGAGCTGAGCCATACAACATTTCCCTCACAAAGGATCCTCCAACCGCCCTGGCTTCCCCTGGGAGATCTAGTGCGGGACATTCAGCAAACATATGTTCTAAGGTCTCTGGGGCCAGGCTGCAATGCCGGCAGGTAGGATCTCTGTTGTTGTCCAACCTCCAGAAATATGTGCGCAAGGGGCAGTGCTCGGTGCGCATCTGCGTCACTAGACTATGCAATCTACGACCTAATCCCCACCTTGGGTCTTGTTTGCTAGGAGTAGGCAAGTTCGAATAGACACCTCTGGCGGTCGTGTTGTCAGTGCCTCCCACATTCCTTCAACCATCCCTGTGGTGCTACATCCAGTGTAGGGCTTTGTCACTACTCACACATTCCTTCCAACCATCCAAGTGATACTCCATCCAGTGTAGGGATTTGGCCCGCCTTACACAATCCTTAAAACCATCTCTGTGGTGCTACATCCAGTGTAGGGCTTTTGCCGACATCAAACATACCTGCCAACCATCCCTGTGGTTCTACAGCCAATGTAGGGCTTTGGCCCCACTCACACACTTTCTTTGATACATACCTGACTGATAAGTTTCCTATCCATGCTTAGATTCCTGCAGCTGTAGAATATTTTAAAATCATCTACCATTTTAAGCCTACGTCTGCCTTGAACCGTTTTCCTCTGGAGTTGTGGGTGTGCACTCTCTTCACTTCTCTGTCATTTGGCATCATTCGACCTTATATCGCTCTGCTACTAGCAAGGGATTTTGTAAGAGCCCATACAAATCCTCGTTGGTTCATATTCTCCAGCCATTTTCAAATTTTGTCCGTCCGTATATTTTCCGTAGAGATATAGTTATCGGTTAAAGAGAGTTATTTAGAGTCTTTCATACTACTCATAATTAGTTTATAGCTTAGAACAAACTCTTGTCTCTGAGAGACGGGCCCTTTGCATTTGTTTTCTATCTTGCCTATAATTTTATTGTCAACGCAATTACGTTTATACATTTTTTTTGTAGGACACTTTTTTATATAAGGAACACGTGTACACGAAAAAAAATCCAGTTCACCTACTTTGAAAGGTAACCATCTGTCGTTTTACAGCTGAAGGTGTACGTTGCTTTGGTCTCGTAGTCAAGGGCGTTGTCATAGGCCAAGGTTATCGATGATCCTAGTCATTAAAAAAAAATTAAAAAGTTATTTCAGATTGACTTGTTGACCTGGGTTCTGCGAGTCCCCAGGTTTGTCGTAAGATTTAAAAATATCTTCCATATTCGTGTATACGTCTATACATTTTCGTCATGACATTTTATATTAAGGCTCAGAGTCGAACACGGGTTATATAAGGTTTTTTTACTTAACGATAGCTGCAATCTTGACACAGATACAGGTTACCCGCACAAAAAGACGAAAACAGTAGCAAGTATTGATGCTTGACTAAAATCAAGGCATATGGGTCATCGCTGACCACTGAGTCCGTCAGCTCTCATCGGAATGACACGGATAAAAATCGCAGACTTTTCACTTGATTCCAAGATTGCGAGAGAGTGTAGGCCTAATGACACCGGTCATATAAGACATGTCAATTGATGCTACCAACTACGAGAGTGTAGGCCTAATGACACCGGTCATATTAGACATGTCAATTGATGCTACCAACTACGAGAGTGTGTCAGCCTAATGACACCGGTCATATTAGACATGTCAATTGATGCTACCAACTACGAGATTGTTTTGGCCAAATGACACTGGCCATTTTTTAAATATCCAGTGCAGCGACTGCTGCTAGTTAAAATCTAACACTATTGTTAAAAACTTCACATAATTTCGTAAACCGAAGTTTTACACTAGACTTATCCCTGAGTGAAGCATATTTCATAATTGTAGTCAATAAGCATCCCTCGACTTATGACTACGACTGATATTAATAGATTATCATTGTGTTTATTCTACATATATTTAGTCGAGTATGGTGTTTACATCTTTTGACAACAGGTATATTTATGTATATATATATATATTTTGTGTGTGTGTGTGTGTGGGGGGGGTATTATTCTTCAATAATAAGTCTAATAAATAAAGTCTAAAAACATTGCGTTGAAGACATTTAACAAAATTAAGTTTAAACACCATTGCAAGGACGCCAAACAACAAAATTAATAATAAGCTCATTGAAATATTTGCGAAGATAATTTCAATGACGAATATTTCATTTTAATTCACCTGATATCTTGAACTTGTACAGGTCATTGGGGTCACTTGGCGTACACACTGGGACCATTGGGGCGACATAGGGGTCAGGGTCGACTAGGGTCATGTCTATAATAGTCGTGCCTTTTTTTGCGGTCTCAGAAAAACTGACCGTGTCTGGCAGGTTGCTGATGGACGGAGCGGTGTTCAGATCTGTGAATGACGAGGGTCAGATTGTCTTTACTAGAAGATGGTTCACATGGGACGATGACTACTGATAGGTGGGTTGCTTTTAAGACCTGTTACTGACAGGGATCAGTTCGCTGTACTAGAAATTGTCCAGTATGGGACAGTGACTGCTGATTGGTTGGTTGGTTTTAAGACCTCAGATTGATAGGGTGGAATTTATTTTAAATCTTAAATTATTAGGATCAGCTCAATAGACCTTTTCAGAGGAACCACTGTGTGTGTTAAAACAATATTCATTATTTTTTTTTTATATTTACGATTAAGAGCTTTTTAAAAATTGTTTTTTAATTGTTAACCAGATTTTATTTAAGAGAATAATTGAAATTTCTACATGCTTCTCTAAGTTAAATCATGGACCAATCAGGTATAAGAAGATGATTGATTTTTAATTTCTCCAAATTGAACTGTATGATTGATTAACGGCTGGATGATTGAATGAGGAGTGAATGATTTGACTGGTGTGTGGATATTTGTGGTCGTTAATGTAAAAGTGAATCCTTTCAAAGTTGGCACAATTTTTAATAAAATTGACTTGCTTAATGTCTATAATCAATTAATACAGTTACTTAGATTCTTAAACTTTGAGATGCATCTCCAAACTTTTGATTCTCTTTCTTTTTTGTGGAGAGACAAGTAGGATTTTTAAACATCATAATAATAACCATGTGCAGAAAATACACTCGCTCCTCTTGACATCTTGCTTTATTCATATTATAAAGTTTTATTGATAATGTTTGATTTATAATGTTTTATTTATAATGTTTGATTTATAATGTTTTATTTATAATGTTTTATTTATAATGTTTTATTTATAATGCTTTATTTATAATGTTTTATAAAAACCTTCCTTATAATCCACAGATGCGTGGCCGATAGTTTTAACACCAGAATGCAAAGTTGACTTACTTGTCAGCATGACGGTAACCTTAAAATCGTTCACCTTATGGGTTTTGTCTTTTACCGTTATCGTCAATGTGTGGGTCGACACGGTGGCATATCTTAAATCTATAAGTGTACGGACAACACCATCACCTGGTCATGTAGGAAATAGTTTATAATATTCAATTTTTTGTTTACATCATTTTATTGTTACAAAAAGTTCATACGACAAAAACGCGTAATTAGTTAACTCCTATTGAGAAATCCAAAATGTCACATTCACGTAATTCCAAAAGACACATTCACATATCCCAATAACACATGCACATATCCCAATAACACATGCACATATCCCAATAACTCATGCACATATCCAAATGTCAAAATAAACAATTTGAAAATCATATTCACATATCTCCAAAAGTAACATTTTACATATATAAATTGTCTTATTCACTTATCCGAATCTGAATTCACCAATCCAAATGTCAAATCACCAATGTCATTTCCAACCTGACTATCAAATTACCTTTTCAAAAGTCAACTCAAGTATTTCAGATGTCAGCTCAAATATTACAATGTCCATTCAAATATTTAGAATTAACATTTTTCTATATCTAAAAGTCACCTAAAATATTTTAATGCCATCTCAAATAATCTAAATTTCATCTTACCTATCCAATATCAGGACATCTATCTCAATGTTAACTCACCTATTCTATTGTATATTTCCTTTTCTTTTATCTACTTACCTATCCCATTGCCTCCTTACCTATTCCAATGTTAAAGTATCCTAGGTCAGGACTTTGACTCATGCTGTAGAACAAGGTGTCCATGTCCAGATCAGTAGCTTGTACACTGTAGACATCCGTGTACGCTGATGTTGTCTTGGCATCCAGGGAAACAGTGTCTGAATTCAATGTGGAAACTAGAAATTAAACTCATTCGTCATGGGGGGTAATCGAAAGGGACTCACGTGGTAAAAGGTTCAAAGGGGGAGACAACCCACCAAACCAAGGCAGCGGTAGGGCGTCAACTTCAATCCTAATTGTGTTCCTTGACGAAAGATGCAATCAGGGAACGAAACTTATGAGGATCCCAATGACCACTGACTTATGGCTGAGACTTCTAATAATTTAGGGTTAGCGCATCTTTTGAACACAGCATTACAGCCACCCATAAATACCTAGTCAATTAATTATTTCTTATAGGAGGTTGAACATTGACTTCCTGGTTATCTGGTATATGACCTTATGGTGGTTATTACATTGTCCTAATGGGTAGCTGGTATTTCACCTTATGGTGGTTATTACATGGTCCTAATGGGTAGCTGGTATTTCACCTTATGGTGGTTATTACATTGTCCTAATGGGTAGCTGGTATTTCACCTTATGGTGGTTATTACATTGTCCTAATGGGTAGCTGGTATTTCACCTTATGGTGGTTATTACATTGTCCTAATGGGTAGCTGGTATTTCACCTTATGGTGGTTATTACATTGTCCTAATGGGTAGCTGGTATTTCACCTTATGGTGGTTATTACATTGTCCTAATGGGTAGCTGGTATTTCACCTTATGGTGGTTATTACATTGACCTACGGGGTATTTAGTATTTAACTTATGGTGATTATTACATTGACCTACTGGGTAGTTAGCATTTAAAAATTGGAAGTTATTACATTGACCTACTGGATGGCTAGTATTTAACAAATTGGAGTTATTTCATTCATCTGCTAGATGGCTGGCATTTAACCTTATGGTGATTATTAAATTAATCTTCTGTGCTGCTGGTATTTGGCCTGATGGTTATTATTACATTTTCGTTTTAAGTAGTCAAAAATGAAGTAGGTCATAATTGCACTCAGGTGACTGCTTTTTTTCACGTTAACATTTTTTTTCGTCATATATTATGAAAGTACTTTTCTCATTTTTACCATTTGAACGGCCCATAATGATCAGTCGGATTTTTGACATTTACCTGCAGGGTACAGGATATTGTTAATGACAGGAGGCTCGTTGTCGACCACTTCAACTGTCAGCGACTGAGACATTTTCCTTAACAGAGAATTAGTGGTTATGTGTAATATGGTGTTGTTTTTTTAAAAATAATGTGACATGAAATAATAATTTGTAACCGAACAAACATTTTAAATTTAAAAAAAAAGTAATTGCTCTATGAGTCGTGAAATCTGCAATGATCAGCATAACGGGTATTTGTAAATAACATTAACTCCGAGATGATTTAAGGTGAAAGATCATTCAAACACAAAATATTTTTTTTTTTTTTAACAAGAATGATAGGGGAACAAAATTTAATATACAATTTTAGTTAAAAATACCAAACCATACGAATACGATACACCTCTAGCTTGTAGATATATTCACTTCACATATCACTAAATATACAATATAATGAGCAAATTACCAAACTTACTTGTTGCACGTCTTATATCAATTCTAAATGTTTTAGAAGTCCAGTCAATAACTTATGTGCTGCCATAGCTGCAAACAAACCATTTGCTTGTTACGTCGTTGCTCATTGGTTTAGGAGCAAGGGTGCAGACTGAGCAGCACGCCCCGGGTGGTACTTCTTTGTGGTTCGTCATTTATATACAATTTTAAGAGGTGTTTTTTTTTGTTTTTTGAATTATGGGGAAGTTATGCGCCATAGTTACGACGAAGACTTAGTGCCTTTTTGTGTGTACACACATTGTCCTGTCCTTAACTACTCACGTAGTTTGATCACCTTCCTCTGTGCAGGTTACGACCACAGGGTTAGTCGTGCCGGCCACCAAAGACTGTGAGCCGTAGTAGTAGACGTAAGGAGCTGAGGAAAATGTTCAAAAATCTAGAACACTTGCCACCATTTCATTTATTTTCTAGAACCAATCAACTTCCTCATTCCTCTTTCTCCCTTAGATTAATATTTAAAAATCTTTGTTAGATCTGCATATATAAAATATCTATTATTTAATGATTCAATAGAAGGGTACTGTCTAGATTTAGTTTTTAGCTTTTTCAATATCATTCCGCTAAATTAGTGGTAGGATTAATAGATGTGTGTTTTATAAAGAGGTGGTACATTTCTATAAAACAATTCATAGTTGATTGTTAATATATTGGACAATACATTCATATTTTTTTATTAAAATACTGGGTATAATATAAAGTATAAACATTCATATTTCTTAATTATAAACTGGGAAATAATTCATAATTGGATGATAATATACCAGGTAATAATTCATATAATGGGGTACTGTATTGGAGAAGTATTTTTTCTGACATTGTATTGGAGCAGTGTATTGGAATTTCCCACACTCTAGTTAAATTACATACATTTAGCACAGGAAAGGAGAGGATGATGTCTGAGGTAATGTACCTGCGTCGCCGTTGAGCATCCAGGCTTCAAATGGCTGAGTATTGGACGGGACTAAACACACGCAGGACTTTTGAGGGCTGCTATCAGATGTGCATGAAATCTGTAGATAGATACATAAGATGTATGTTGACAAGTTATCAAATATTCTATGATAATGTCTGACGGAAGAAATATTTTTGAAACAGTTTTATTGAACGATTCTTTGAAAGTCAGCAACGCAGTAAATAAATCAGCAACTCAGTTGACTCGACGGCAACGTAGTAAATAAATAAGCAACTCAGTTGACTCGATGGCAACGCTGTAAATAAATCAGCAACTCAGTTGACTCGACGGCAACGCAGTAAATAAATCAGCAACTCAGTTGACTCGACGGCAACGCAGTAAATAAATCAGCAACTCAGTTGACTCGACGGCAACGCAGTAAATAAATCAGCAACTCAGTTGACTCGACGGCCACTCTGTAAATAAGTCGGCCCCTCTGAGAGTAAGTCAGCTACTCTGTTAAAATGTCAGCCACTCTGCAAATAAGTCTGTGTTTCTATAAATATCTTAGAAAAAATAATTGTCCTTTTATCTAATGTATTTCTTGTAATGTACTTTTTTTGTTTATTATTGTTAAAGGGAATTAACTTCTGCCACGGTCTACCGTCATTAGTTATCGGGGTTAAGTCCCTTTCATAACAAAGTTCTTTTCATTAACTGAAACTTCTTGTCTCTTTACAGCTACGAGTGCAAAGTTTCCTTACCTGACTATTTAGCTTGGTCATGTTGTGGGCCCCGACTTTGATGTTAACCGTGCTCGGGCTGAATGCGTTAAAGATAATTCCCTGGCAGATACAATATTGGATTAAGATTGTAGAGAACAGCTCTATAACAGTTTAGGACATTCATCATTAGTTACATGGCGTCAAACAAAACATCTCTTTATGGTGGAAAACCATCCGAAAATGTATTTCGAGTATTTGAATAATAAAACTATCTAATTATAGTTGATTAGATATTAACATTGCATGTATCATGTAGCCATTAATTGGAACCCCGACCAGGAGTAGTGTCGTTGACAACTAAAACAAGGGCGAAGTCTAAAATTTTGGGGTCCTTTGCCCCCCAAACCCCCACCCTAGCCCCCCCCCCACACCCAAAAAAAAAACAACATAAAATAAAAATTACTATTTTAGCTCAATTTTCTTCTTCTTCAATATCTTAAGGGCCCACGATCATTTTATTGATCATTTTGGCTCCTATGCATGCAATGTTTATATGCCTGACGGTGGCATCAGTAGTAGGTGCCCCCCCCCCCCAACCCGCCAACTATCGCTGCTATGCCCATGAATTTGAATCCCAGCACACACATATCACAGTATGCAAAGTTAATCTTCGTGATTGCCCATTGTTTTTCTGGTCTGCTATTTTGTTATTTTAAAGTGTCTTTATCATGTCCAAATAGGGTTATAGGGGGGGCGGGGGCTGAGAGTTCCTGCTGTTTTTTAATGGTTTTTTTTTTTTGTCTGGGGGTAGGGGTTGTGGCGTAGATTCATTTCACTAAAAGTCTCATGTCAGCCATTTACTTTAGCTATAATAAAATAAAAAAAAAAATATATATTCTTTTAATCTGATAATAATTGTGGCGAATGAACGTACGTTTCTTCTGTTTTGTTTCCACAGAGAGGCATCGCAGGAGATTTAGCTGACTGATTGCTGCAAGGTGTGAGAACTACTGGAAGTTCATGAGTGTGTGTGTTGTTGTTTTTTTTTTAGGGTGTCCTTTCAAAAAACAGTCGATCCTATGACAGCGTGGTCTGCAGGGGTTCTGCAGTCGGTGTGTCTGCTGTCTTACGCTTGCAATGCAGGTTGGTGGAACGGCACTCTACACGAATTCATTTATTAGTAGGTTCAGCGTCTTAGTTACTGGTTCCAAAGGTAACACCTTCTTGTTTACCAGCTGCTCGCCTTAACATCTCGTATTACAGGTGAATGTTGTGTTGTTTTCTGTTTTGTTTGTTATCTCGAGACTTTTATTTAGACTCGAAGTTTGTCACTAGAAAGTAAGGTTTGATCTTTAATCAGTCTGACTTTGGTCTCCATCTTCACTCATGTGTGTCGTAGTAGTTGGGGGTGATTTGTAACTCTGAATTTCCCCTCTGAATTCTTGTTTCTATGTCTCTATCCATTCGCCCGCTGAACTCTTGTTTCTGTCAATGCATCCATTTTTTTCCATCTTCGGTGAAAACATTATTGACAATCTTGGTCTCATCTCATTAAAAGTTAATTATAATTAACACGAAAGACAAATCTAAATTAAAATATAATAGCGTTAACAACCTACCCCTTCAATGCTTATCAATCCATATCCTATAATCCAAATCGATATGCATGTGATTGTGTTCATTCTTTCGCTTTTAAAATAAAATATTGGTGTATTTAAAAAACAAAAAAACAAAAACATTAATTTAAAATATAATTCACAAAATTTTTTCTATATACAAAACTAAAAAATAAAAAAAAAATAGAAATTTTAAATTACTACAAAAAAAGTCATTAATTATTGAAGATCTTACTTTAAAAAAAATAATAACAGTCAAGTAGCCAAATAGATTTTATTAATAAAAATAAACACTGACACTCAAAAAGTTCGAAGGTTTTACCTTTTTTCTTTCAGTAAACGTTTAGAACTCGACAAGGCTATACAGCCGAACGTGTCATTCCAGGATTTGATTCCCTGTCTAATTCTATCCACGTTAATGTCAAACCGTTATCTCAACAATTCCATACAACAACTTCCAAGACCTAGCAAGCACATAGAACGATCCTCTCTATTTCAAATCTGGATACTTTTTAAGTGTCTTTTATTTTATTTTTTTACTTGGAGTTACCTGATGCTATGGTTACCTGCCCCATACCGTGTCAACCAGTAGTTACAGTTAAACATATCTTAACACATTGTCCCAAATAACGCTCGCGTCGTGCGTACACGCAATGAAATGAATGCCGCAAATTGACCTGAGATGGCCTGGTACTGCACCCGTACATTGAGTCGTCCGCCTGAGCTGACTTTCAATCAAGGGTTCAATACGTTGAGGTGGAATATTTGATTAGTGAAGTCTTTAGTGAAGTTATCAATGGAGATTAGAAGACCAAGTGAATGCTAATATGTGTGTGTGTGTGTATAACTGTGTATGCGTGTGTGTTTGTGGGTCTGTTTCCATTCAGTGGCACCGCATTGACCTGTTTATTTTGTAATGAGACATTTTTTTTAAATGGCCCTGTCAAAGTTAAATGAAACTGTTTCAAAATAAAATCTGGATATAAACTATTCAGTGGTAAATGCTGGGATAGGACACAGGGTGGGGAGACGAACATAATCTGTTTTGGTCTAGGGTAGGAACGAGGACACATAGTTGGGATTTGAACAGAATTGATGGTGGTTTAGGGGGGTGGGGACGATGACATAACATGGGGATTTGAACCGAATTGGTGTTTATTTAGGATAGGAACGAAGACACAGAGTGGAAAGGTCAACGTAATTGGTGGGGGTTTACGGTAGGAACGAGGACACAGTGTTGGGAGGTGAACAGGATTGGTGGTGGTTTAGGGTTTGGTCGAGGACACAGTCTAGGGTTTGGGCGAGGACACAGTCTAGGGTTTGGGCGACGACACAGTCTAGGGTTTGGGCGAGGACACAGTCTAGGGTTTGGGCGAGGACACAGTCTAGGGTTTGGGCGAGGACACAGTCTAGGGTTTGGGCGAGGACACACTCTAGGGTTTGGGCGACGACACAGTCTAGGGTTTGGGCGAGGACACAGTCTAGGGTTTGGGCGAGGACACAGTCTAGGGTTTGGGCGAGGACACAGTCTAGGGTTTGGGCGAGGACACAGTCTAGGGTTTGGGCGAGGACACAGTCTATGGTTTTACAGGATGCCGATTTATTTTCATAGGTTTGAAATTGAGTGAATATGGTTGGGTTTTCATTGGTGGTTTAGTTTGATTTGTGCACAACTTTGTGAGAAGACAATCACGCAGCATGAAAGGAACACATTAAAGGATCATTAAAAAAAAACCTTACCTATACAAATATCATGACGTATTTATCCGACAGACAGTGATCAATGTTAGTAAAACAAGAAAAGAGCCATGCTGATAAAAATATGAAGATGCACTTTTATAAAATGAAGAGAACTATGCTGATGCAAATATAAGAACTAAAAATTTAACCATGAAGGACCCCATGCTGTTACCAAACAATGATTTATTTATTTTATTAATCTCGAAAATACATATGCTGTTTTAAAAAGAAATGACTTATGTATTTAACATTAAGATTCCTATGGTGATACCAAGATATAAACTTAGACTTGTGACATGACATGAGCTTACACAGCACCTGTGTATTATCCCCATTTTTTTTAGGTCAATAATCCAAGCAAATTATTAAAAATAGATTTCATTACTGTGCTTAAATCATAAGTCGCAATTCTTATATCTAAATTCGTAATTTTTAAATATAATGTTGGAATTTTAAAATCTAAGGTAATATTTAAAAAAAAAATCTAATATTGTAATTCTAAAATTTAATGTTATAATTCGTATATATAATATCGTAATTATTATTATTACTATTATTATTGTTATTACTATTATTATTAATTGGTTTTATATAGCGCAATACCCCTGACTAGGGCTAGGCTCACTGCGCTTCACATACAAAATAGAAATTACAGAAAATTATACATATGGTCTTAACCTTATGTCGTAATTTCTAAATCTAATTTACTAAATGTTTGTGTATCAGTACACCAGTGTTTATATTTCTCACGTAAAAAAATATTAATTGTTTACTTTGAAGAGGGCTGCTAAAATCTTGTTTTTTGGAACTCACACCCTTATTGATTTTGAAACACTTACCGAATGCCTATCTTAATTTTAAACATAGTTCCCACACCCATCACAATACAAAATGATTTTAAAAACGGCAAAATGATTTTTCTCGGTCTTTCAGCCCCCTTTACAATGCTTCCCTTAACCCCAAGTGCAGCTGGCACCCCCTTTTGAGAACCCCTGACTTAAACTCTTGAGGAGAGAAATAAACTTGACGTAACACTGACTTGTAACAAAGTCAGTGAAGGGCCATTCACCTGTTTGCAACGGCTTGCAATGAAATGTATGGCCCGACTTAACATTAATGTGTATTTTATAAGGTAACCCTCCACTGGATCTAAGGTTCAAACTTGTGTGCTGTCACGGTTCGGTAATTTGGTGATTTTTTTTTTTGTCCCATAGGCAATCGTGTACAGAATAGCGTCACGGGGCCCTATGATATAATTCGAGATTAATCACTTAGATTATTGGATTTTTTCTTATGAGTTGGTACTTTTGATGACACCGTGTTCGGCAGTAAACCAGTTGTCACAAACAAAGTCATACCAGTGATCCCGAAGTCAAACCAGTTGTCTCAAAATCAAACCATTTTTTTCCCATAGACAAAACATTAGTCCCAGAATAAAACCAGTGGTCCAATAGTTGTGCCAGTGGTCTCGAAGTATGAAAATTGGTCACAAAGTCTAACCAGTAGTACCAAGTGAAACAAGTGGTCCCAAAGTCAAACAAATTGTCTAAAGTCAAACCAGTGGTAAAAAAATTCAAACTATATTTTCCAAAGTCAAAATATTATCCCCAAAGCCAAAACTGTGATCTAAAAGTCAAAACAGTGGTCTAAAAGTAAATGCAGTGGTCCTAATCTAACCAAAGGACCCAAAGTCAAATCATTGGCTACAAACTTAGAACAGTGGTCCAAAAGTTAAGCCAGATGTCCCGGAGTCAATTTGGTTGTCCAGTGTCATACAATTGGTTCCAAATTTCAAGCCCAAGGTCACAAAATCAATTCAGTTGTCACGAAATCAAACTATTTGTCCCAAATCAAACCCGTGGTCCCGAAGTGAAAACAGTGTCCAAAAGACTAGTTAGTAGTCCCAAAGTCAAATCAAGCATGACAAATCAAGCCAAAACGTGTACCAAATTAAAAAAACTGTTCTGACAGTAAAAACATTAGTCCCAGAGTTTAAAAATTCGGTCGCAAAGCCAAGCCACGGGTTTCATGGTCAATCCAATGTTGTCAAAGTCTATCTTAAGTCTCAAAGTCAGACTATTTGCCATAAAGTATGAAAAGTGATTCTGAAATACAATTAGTGGTCACAAAGTCAAAATGTTGCATACAAAGCCATACAAGTGTTCTCATTGGTCCGAAAGTCAAATTAGTGGTCCCAACTTAAAACCATTTGTCCCAATTTTCAACCATTGGTCCCAAAATCAAGTAAGTTGTCCAAGGTCAAAGCATTGGAAACAAAGCCATACCATTGATCCCAAATTCAAAGTCATGGTTCTAAAGTCAATACATTGGTCCCAAAGTCAAAGGAGTGGTTTTAAGTAAAAAATATGGTCAAAAGTCAAAGCTATGATCCCAAAATTAAGCCATTGTTTCCAAAGTCATTGGAGTGTCCTAGAGGTAAAACGAGTAGCATGTCCCAAAATTAAATCATTGGTTCCAAATTCAAACCATTTAACCCAAAGATAAAATATTGGTCCCACTATGAAACCATTGTTCACATAGCCAAACAATCGGTTCCAAAGAAAATCAAAAATATAGGCCCGAAGCCAAACCACTAGTCCCAAAGTCAAGCTATTGTTCCCAAAGTCAAACCAGTGGTCCCAAAAAAAACCAGTGAACCCAGAGTCAAATCATTGGTTCCAAATGTCAAGCTTAAGTCTCAAGTCAAAGCAGTGTCGCAAAGAAAAAAAGTGCAAAGGTCAAACCAAAAGCCAAAGCAGTATTACCAGAGTCCAACCAGTGGTTCCAAAGTAAAACCATTAGTCCCAAAGTAAAAACATTGATCTGTGCGTCCAAACATTAGTCCCAAATTCAATCAATTTCTCCCAAAGCGAAACCATTGGTCTTAAATTCAAACCATTGGTCCCAGAGCCAGCCATCGGTCCCAAAGACAAATTGCTGGTCCCATAGTGAAAACATTGTTCCCAAAGTCAAACCATTGGCCTCAAAGCCAGTGGTCCTTAACTCTAAAAATTGGTCTTAAAATCAAAGTGTGATAGACATTTTTGCTATCAAATTAATATTATTTTTTTTAGACTGAAAATTATTTGTTGAGCACCGTCGATGGATTTGATGGATATCATTTTAACGCAATTGTTAGCCAGATCTTAGATGTGTGTATTTTAACAAAATTAACATTGGCTAATTTGTTACTTTATTTTTCAACAAATAATGAAAGAAATGTACAATTGATCGTTAAGCAGTATTCTCAAAAGGGTATTATTCCGTCCCAAAAATTCTCATTGAGACCAAAGTGCCTCTGAAGGTCTACTTATGTCCCATAAACCATCATACATTCAAATTTCAGTCAATCGAATAAATGTACACATTAAAAAGGAAAACAAAAACATTAACATCTGTGTCGATAAATTATATTTAAGTTTATTTTCAAATACAAAGATTTTAGTAAGGTCGCTATCCACATTATTTAGTATCAAAACCCCAATACCAGTTGTCAAAGGCGTAACAATGGTAGGATAAGATGCTCCTTCCCATGTTGCTGTATGATACGTACATATATTTTGGAGGAATTGTATACCATCTTCATAGGTCTTTTACGCTGGGGTGGAGGCAGCAAAAAATCTTCATCAGATAAGGGTGGGAAAAACATTGATTACGCACCTGGCACAGGTTATAATGAACCTCTAAGCTTTTACGTTTAGAATGTAGACACAAACATTAAAATACCAGTGATATTGAACGTTGAAATACCAAATATATAGAAAATTTAAATACCAGAGTTACAGATCTTTGAAATACCGCTGATAAACATCCTTCAAATGCCAGTGATATATAATGTTGAAACACCATTGATAAAGAAAGTTGAAAAACCAATGATAT